AATGTTGACAAAATTTAATTTTTAAGAAAGAACAATTATCACAGTTATTGTCTTCATGTTTTTAATTCGAATATTAGATTTATCGTATGGATTTAAATGTTGTACACATACCAATATATTATATATACACTTATCGAAATTTTAAAGTTCAATGTTGCTAAGTAAATTATAATTTCTTTTCCTCACTGGTCAGCCTGTAATTCAAAGATTGTGGTTTACAATCTTATTAAATTGTTGCTCCTAAACTCTGTCTTTTTACCAATATGGTAATAAATCAGAAAAATAAGAATAAGAATCAGTTTAAACATTTACATTTGTCTTTCTTAAAAAACAAATTTATCTATTAATAGGTATATATGATATTAATTGATGATCACTGTTCATCGTTTTCCGTTGCTGGTATTCTTATCATGACTGAAGTAACTTCATCATTGTCCATGTCTATGTGTGTATAAAGCTTGACAATCTTATCAAAACTRTCGAAAATGAACTTAAAACATATTTTTATGTACTGGGAGTTAATTATTGAATTTATCGCTTGATAAGCTGCAACAGCTTTCCTCCTATACACGTTAGAGGTCAAGGCTTTTTTAAACCATAGACTAACTGATATAAGAGACGTTGTGAGTTCCTTAAGCGTTTCGGTAAGTGATTCTGTTTGTTTCAGTGGAATGACAGAACTCGAAGATTTCGATAMCGATTCCGAGTTAGTTTGCTCAACAGAATATATTGATCTCGACCGGGATTTTACACTGACTTGCAACGATTTTTTTGATAACGATTGAGTTGATGGCTCAACTATGGAATCATTTTTCTTCAACGATTCAGATTGTTCCTTAACAACCTTTGGTATAAAAACTGTTGAATTCTTGCTATCTTCTGTATTTGTTCCGATYGACATTGTCTGACGAGTGCTTAATGCACATAATGCGTTCACTTCTAATGCCTCAAAACTATAAAAAAACAAAATATCAATGTAATCATACAAAAATTCTATAAAATAATAACAAACAGTAAAATATTAAAGTGTAGACCTTTTAGCCCCCCTCCCCCTTAGATTTGCTCATGGATTTGAACTTACTCGTAGGCCATTCGTGCTCGGCGTAACTTGGCCAACATTCCGGTCATCCGTACGGTGGCTGTTTTGAGGCGCTTGTCCATTGGATCCAGTTGTTCGGCCTTGAACTTTTGCAAAAGGTTTATCAACATTTGGATCCTTACCACAGGCGGCACGGTCTCGAAAATCAGCCGTCGGACTGCATTCGACCAATAGTCGTTTTCTCCATCAGCGTCGACAACTGTAACTACCGGCGGATTTTGACGATGTAGCTCTCTGGCAATCGCAGCGGACACCAAGTCATTTCTAATCACCAAAATGACGATCCCCACAAATAGCGCCCCCGCGACAATATACGATAGAGATGACAAGATTGCCAGTACAATAGTGTAGATCATCCCTGTAGTAATGACTAGTTGTTAAARTTGTTGATATTAACRTTAAAATRATTGTATAACATAGGTGTACCTATGTACTTTCTACATCATATTATATATTAAGTGATTTAAATAATGTCATTAAAATGCCATGTACCAATATGACTAGTTAAGTTTAAAGGTAACCACAATGATTGCCCAAATTTGGGTAACAACTAATATAGATCACTAAGTAGGTAGCTATTTACTTATCATTGCAAATTACTAAAAAAAA